AATGTAACCAGCAAAGTGCAGTGTTGTGTTCAGAAACAACATAGATTATTCTAGTGTCCTGCTATAATTGCAAGGAAGGCAGGTTTGGCCCTCTGATCATTTCTGGACTGCAGCTCCCAGAATCCCTCACCATTGGCTATACTGGTTAAGGCAGGGGTAGGCAACTTTTGCTTACCAGGGGCCGGTCTGCTAGTCCCGAGGTCTTCTGCAGGCCGGGGAAATGGCGCCGCTCGTGCACGCTCAGTATGCGGAAAGTATTGTGCATGCGTGAGCGAGTCGCGACCACCATTTTGTTTTCCAAAATGGCACCGTGACTCGTTTGTGCATGTGTCGGAGTACTGCGCATGCGTAAACAAGTCACAGATGCCATTTTGTTTTCCAAAATGGCGGCTGCGACTCATTTGCGTAAGTGCTGTACTCTGGCGCATGTGCAAACAAGTCACGGTGCCATTTTGGAAAACAAAATGGTGGCCGCAACTCGCGTGGGGGCGGCAGGACCGGGCTGGGGCCGGTCCAAAGGCCTGGGGGGGGGCAGATCCGGCCCCCAGGCTGTAGGTTGCCAACCCCTGGGTTAAGGTGACTATAAAGGAAAAAAACACCTAAAGGTTCATAGTTGCCCATCCTACTCTAAGGCCTGCCTACTATACATAAAGTTCCTAATATATATGTCTTTTGTTTAGAGAAAGCTTTTTGTTTAAATATACTGATGTGCACTCAGTTGAAAAATTCTTGCATACCTACACTTCACTGCTCAAATTGTGTATATTTTTTCTAGAAAAGTAAGTAGGCTTTGGAGAAAATAAATTTTGAATAGCTCCTTAGTGTTTTGTTTTGACCAGCTGACATACATTTACAACCCTGATTACATCCTCCTGTTTGCTCCAGCAAGGATGTGTTCTATAAAGTCTTGTGGGGTGTGTGCTTGCTAGATTTCTCCTCTGCTTTCCATTAATTCCTTGCAAATCCTTATTGACTGCATGTACATACATCCTCTCTTGCTCTTTTTTAGAGAGGCAGTTGCTGCTGTTAACTGCTGTAAAATCAACTTTGACTTATGGTGACCCTGTGAATGAGAGACCTGCAAGTCATTCTATCATCATCAGCCCTGCTCAGATCTTGCAGACTCAGGGCCAAGGCTTCCTTGTGCCTTTCATTCTTGGGATGGACTGCTCCCCTCAGCTCTCTTGTGGAGGGATCCATCCTAGGGATGTTGGTAGAGGACCCTGGCTAGTAATGTTCCCATGAACAAATGGCTTGAATTAATGGCATGTGCTTATTTGCTCAAAAGGAAGTGTGCTAGATGATGAAAAAAGCTATATATCAGATTAGACATGTTGCCAGCAGATTGAAATAACAAAAATTGGATTTGAGGTGGGAGATCTTGGTTGAAGAATGGGAAGGATGTCCTATGAAAGTTAAACACTCCTCTGTATTCCTCCTGCTCTGTTCCTTAAGATCCTCTGTTCCTTTGTAGCATGCACACTATGCATGGCCCATCTGAATTTTAGGCATACATAGCTTATGTTTTCCTCTTGAGTCTGCATATCAAACTGATATTGGTGCTGGTGTTAGAAGGGGATTGATTCAGAGATCTATAGAGCTCTGACAAAAGATTACTGTGTTATAAGATATAGGCCCCTGGAGGTTGCCTGCCTGTTCAAGTTAAGCTAGTAAGTGCCATCTGTTTTCAATGAGAAAAGATCCCTTGGATTCAGAGTCTTTTATATCCATTTTACCCTTTCATTATCAAATTCCATCACCAATGCTGATGTTAATGTTTCAGAGCTGAGGTTTTGTGTTGTTTGAAAAAAACAAAACAAACAGGACCCTGCTTAGTTAAAAACCTTGATAAATGACTACATTTGCAAAAAAGTTTTTGTTGCCTTGCCAGAGAAAGTATGTGAATTGCCTTGGAGGCATATGAAGTTATTTAAATTTCAGACTTAGTGGGTAGAAATGAGGGGATATAGAGAGATAGGAAATCAGGTACTAAGCTTTTATATGAAGTTGGTTTATAGTTTCCTTTCTCTGAGCAGGGTGTCACAGTCTATCTTGCAAATTGTGTTCATGCAGAGATGAGACTCTCACATCAGCTTGGCCATATGAGATTCTGGAAATGGCAGTTCAAAGTGGTACATGGCTACCAAATCATAACCTAAAATAATTACTGTGCTTGACCTTATCTGGAGCAAGTAGCAAATACTTTCTGTGGCTGGTGCTGACAGATGCAATAGGCTCAGGTTGTGTTTTTGTTCCAGTATGAGGTACAGGAGCTATGCAGGAACAGGGAGGGAGGGATGTGGGTGTGAGCAGTCCCCACAGCTTCCGCTGCCAAGTTACTTACCTGCTGCTGTGCCTGTCTTGGCTTGAGAGAGCCTGTAGCGGTTGGTTAGAGAAGAAACAGATCCATGTGCACTGCTGTGTAAAAATGATGAGTTCAGGATTGAGCTCAACAGTCTGCCTCCATAATGAATATGCATGGGTTCTACAGTTTGATCTTGCAGACAAATTCAGAGGAACTGAGACATCTCGTCTGTGAATGAATTCTGCAATTAGTGTTTCAAATTCTGATGATTTCCTTATCTTTGACAACTGCCTAGGTCAGTGATGGCGAACCTTTTAGAGACCGATGAAGGCCTGGAGGGGGAAGGAGGAACAGGCACATGCCTGTCCTCCTCTTCCCCGCTGTCCTAGGCCTTCAGCTGACTCCAGAGAGGCAACTGAAGGCCCGGGTGGGGGGAAGAGGAGGTCCTGAGCCCCGGCCAGGCAGAGGTCCTGCCTCCAGAAGGTAGAAGTCCCCCTATCCTACCCCACAAGACGGAAGTCCCACCCCTGGAAGGCAGAATTCCCTCCTGGAAGTCCTGCTCCCCCCAGCACAGGGTAACACCCGGTGCCAGAACACCTTTTAGTTTGGGCACTTGGTCTTTAAAAAGTTTGCTCACCATCACTGACCTAAGCAGTTGTCAAAGATAAGGAGATCATCAGACTTTGAAACACTAATTGCAGAATTCATTCACAGATCAGATGTCTCAGTTCCCCAGAATTTGTCTTCAAGATGAAACTAGAACCCATGCATATTCATTTTAGAGGCAGACTGTTAAGATCAGTCCTGAACTCATCATTGAGATCAATCCTGAACTCATCTGGAGAGGCACTTGAAGCGACGGGAGGGCGGGGGAAGAGGAGGAGCAGTCATGTTCCTCCTCTTCCCTTGCCCTCCCATCTCTCCGTGTGCCCTCCAAAATGGCTTTGTGTGCCAGAGATGGCATGTGTGCTGTAGGTTTGCCAACATGGGCCTAGGAAATGTTATTAATTTTGAACTATGATTCCCAGAATCCTGTCCTCCTAGCAATTGTTGGCTGGAAGATTTTGGGAATTATAGTTCAAAGTAGGAATCTTTCCATGTTTTGCATTCCCCTCCTCTTCCCAACTGATGATTAACAGCCATGAAGAATAAGAATGGAATTGGGAAGAGGAAATCCCAGTTGCTGTTTTTGGAAATATTAGAGGCTTTTGGCAATATGTCTTCATTCTTATAGGATAAATGGGTGGGTTTTTGCTTGTGATAAAAACCCTTTATGTAGGCAGAGGAAAAGAGCTGGCTGCCAAATTGGCTCTCCCGAAGGGTAGGTTCTGTCCTAATTTGATAATGGTTCTAGCCACAGGAAAAGCAGTAAAAGGCAAAATGCATGAAGGAGAAGAGTGAAATGGGAATGTTGTTGGTTGCTTAAACCCCATTCTACACAAAGGAATTGTGTCAAAGAGCTGAAAATATCTCTCAATGATGATGAACTAAATTATGTAAGTCCAGATGCCATACCTCTTCCATTCTCTTCTTCTCATATTAAAACAGCTTAGATTTATTTATTCATACTCGAACTTTGTGCTTTTCATTAATCTCTTGCTACCCTCATCTTCTTTGGAGTAATTGTTAACCCTCCAGACCTCCCTCTGTTTAGATAAGTAGAAAGTCTGATTTTTAGAGATTTTTAAAAAAATTCTCTTTTGTTTCTGGAGATCTGCAACCAAGAATCTCAGTGTATGCTTATCAGATGGGAAATACAACTCTCCACACCTTCCTCCCTCAGCCCACCACCCCCTTTTTTCAAAAGAAAACATACTGCTTTCTTCTATAGATAGTAGCAAAGCCTGCCTTATAAACACCAAGGATAAAACTGCTCTCAAATGCTTACATGGAAGGCATTCCCACCCTTGGTGCCCTTCCTTCTTTCTTGCAAGTAGCCCTACCATCCCTGTGGTGATGTTGGCTCTCCAGATAGTTTGAGAGCAGAAAGATATACATTTGCCAGCTGCCCATCACAGATGATAAATACATCTTTTCAGCTGCCAACTCCCCCTCCATCCCCGGCCAAGCCTACCATAAAATTACATGCTATGTTATGGCCAGATAATAAAAGAGCAACTTTAATATTTGACACAATTCTGGCCAATTGCCACTCCATCATAAAAACTGTTTATCAGCCCACCTACTTTAGAGTATGTGGAGTTTCCCTTCAAATAACCTTCTAGTAGTATTGTGTTCAGAACTGCATGGCTGTTCTTTTCTCTCCACAGTTGGAATGTTTATGGCTATAAGTTTAGGGCATTGTATTAAATCAAGAAGCCAGATGGCAGCCTATAAACTTGTGCCTGCATGGAATTACTGTAGGTTGGGTTAAGATACATACACACCTGTGCTCTCAGCTTGTGTACCTGTATTAGTTTGTATCTCTGCTTTATACCTTGTAAAAAGAAGACATTAGGCAAACAGGTACAGGAGTCCTCCTTCCCTATACATTCTATAAACAGCCACAAAGAACAAATCTAACCAAGTGCTTCTATTCTAGAGCTGTGGTCTCCTTGGCTGACACTTGTGGTAGTGTGTGCAGTCCTGAGTTTGTACATCTGTGTGCCTCTTCATTTGAAGCGATTGTGTATGCAGATTAAAGTAGTGGTCTTCAGTCCTTGTTTTCATCTATTTATATTTATGTATCTGAAGAGCCAGTGTGGTATAGTGGTTTGTGTGTTGGACTAGGATACTGGGAAACCAGGGTTAGAGTCCCTGCTCAGTCATGGAAACTCACTAGGTGACCTTGAGTAAGACACATTCTCAGCCTCAGAGAAAGGCAAGGACAAGCCCTGTGATGGTCACCTTATAGTTGCTATCAGTGAAGGTACACAACAACATTTATATATCCCGTAGGTAAAATGGTTTAAAACTTATTGCTGAGCCCATAACCACAGACTGACATGCAGCAGTGCTAAAGAGTGCTCACAAACATCATAATTATACATTTTTGCCTTTAAGTATAAGGGACTTGGACAGAGCATACATTCTCATGTCTACTTTATAAGCCAAAGTTTGCCAAAAGCTTAACAGCATTTCTCTTCTCTTTCTCACACCCAGGCAGAGCATATTTTTTTGTTGTTGTGTGTCGTCAAGTCGTTTCTGACTTATGGTGACCCTCTGGTATGTAAAGAGATCTTGTAGCACCCTTGAGACTAACTGAAAGAAAGAAGACAGCATGAGCTTTTGTAGACTTCAGTCTACTTCCTCAGATGCATTCCGAAAGCTCATGATGCCAACTTCTTTCTTTCAGTTAGTCTCAAAGGCGCTACAGGATCTCTCTACTTGCTGATTCCACATACTTACATGGGTATATCTTTGAATGGTTACCCTAAGGAATTTTCTTGGCAAAATTTGTTCAGAGGAGGTTTGTCGCTGCCTTCCCTTGAGGCTGAGAGTTGTCCAGGGTCACCCAGTGGGTTTCATGGCTGAGGGGGGAATCAAACCCTGGTCTCCAGAGTTGTAGTCCAACACTCAAACCACTATGTTTTGCTGGCTCTCTAGAGCATATTTACCATGGAGATTGAAAGCATTGCAGGTAAGGTATGCTTAACCTTTTTTCTCTAAACACTTGTGCTAGGATGGTTAACGCACATCTGCTTTGAAATGTTTCTGTGTCTCTCCTGCTCACACACTGTGGAATTTTCTGGGGGGAAAGACCAATTTAGAGGGCCAGTGAGTGAGGAAGCAGCTGAGCTATCTGCTAGGACTTCTCAGTTGCATCTTTGTTTTTCGAAACCGCCCTCCACAAAAACCAACAATGCTAAGCTTACGTAATGTGGATCTCCAGCAGAACTTGCAGTTCTGCTTTCATTATTTTCTGTACAAGGAAGCTAGGTTTCTTTCTTTCTTTTTGCTTTTCATTAGATATACCTAAACAGGAGGAAGTGGGCAATGGATCTAGGCAATCCTCTGCTTTTTGATGGGGCATTTAATTCTGAGTAGCCAAATTTGGTACACAGTTGTGGGACAGCTGTAATGAAGGCTATAATCTCAATTGTGATCTTGTTTTTCACTAAGCTGGAAAATGTAGACCTTGTCTCCATCTTAGTTGAATAAAACGGTTCCATGAGCACTCATTAATTTCCCTCAGTTCTCTAAACTGGAAAAAAGCAGTCAACTTATTTCCTGCATCTTAGATCCAAGTCATTCATTTCTACACTTGAAGTACCCTCCAATGTACTGGGGTAGAAACCAAGTCGTTTTGTTCTGGCACAATCATTGCACAAATGGCTTAAAATCTGGCTGAGTTTTTAAATACAGAGTTGAGATCCTGATCAGGCATTTGGCCTGGAAGAGTGGAGAATGTAGTTATTTCATAATGAAAACAGTTCTGTGCGATCTGGTGTATTAACATTTGTTGATGCATATTCTGGTTCTTAAACAGCTTGATTCAAACAGCAACTGCCCCATGGCTCTCAGTGAAGGAGGATGGAGTCTACAGGATTAGGTATGATTGCATACCTAATCTCAGAATTTGGGGCCAGAAGTAAGAAATCTACTTCTGTTCACCCACTCTTTGGATCACAACCCCCAGAAACCTTAACTATTGATCATGCTAGCTGCAGCTTTTGGAGACTAGTACTATACATTTAGAAAGCACCAGCTTCCTTACACCTGTTCAAGGGAAAGTCTGATGACATAATTAGTTCTGCATAAACAAAGATTCTAGTACTCAAGTTTCCACTGTGTGCTTCAAAAAATCTAGGGTATGTGGGAATGGCTGTGCTTCCTCAGGAAGGTACTTGGCATCAGGATAAACTTCTCATGTTGCTCAGAATAGGTTACTAGGCTTAGCCCTATCTATTTTCATTTTTAAATTTGATGCTTTAACTTGTGGACTCTACATTCTTCTATTTTCATATATTTACTGTCTTCTAAAACACTCAAGATTGTTCATGATCTAATATAATGGTTTATAATCCCAGAGACATACACAGGAGAAATAAGACAACTGAGGTGTCACCTGCTTCCTAGCTCTGTTTGTAAAAACTCCCCACCACCACCACCCTGCAAGGCCTGATTGGTGTGGCATTTATGTCCCATTTTGACACCAAGTTAAGGCACAACTATTTACCCAAGTTTTGAGGTCTTACTAATTCACCTTGCCTCTGACTTAACATTGTTTGATGATAGCGTATGAGTGATGACTGGTTCTATTTTAATTTGATCTTAAGCTATGTTTTTAAAAATCAGTTGAAGCCAAATTATGAATTTATCACCAAGTGAAGATTTTCTATTGCCTGAAAGGAGATTCTTCACTGAGAGAGTCCATCCTTTCCAACAACAAGGGAAACTCACAATTTGGCTTCAGTTGACTTTGTAACCCAGTGCAGCACATAAATGTTATCTCCAGCTTTGCTTATATAAAGACTATCCTGTTTCTTGTGTTCCTACTATGCGCCAACTCAGGAACCTGTGTTTTTCCACCCAAGGCTAGGGACAAAGCTCTTGAGTCACAACCAGTCTTTGTGCTTTTTGAAACTGCAGTTTGCTCCATTAATTCTGCATCCTAGGATGCCCTGGCAGATATAACCAGCTGCCTACCCATTTTACTAGTGTATCAATCATTCATTCCACAGTCTCTATTTTGGGAATGAATCTTAACTGAAGATTCACGGCTACAGCATCTGGCCTAATGTTTAGATATACAGTATATATAGGCATCCTCCATTTTCGTGGACTTCAAGTCCGTAGTCTTGGTCCTTAGCGGACTGGCAAGTGGGGAGTATTAAAATGGTGTGTGGGAGCGCGCGGTCATTCAAACCAATGGGGCTTGAATATTTGAGAATTTCCATTTTCACAGGGGGATGCAAAACGGATCCCTGTGAAAATGGAGGGATAACTGTATATATATTTGGGCTATTTTGCCCTTCCACTACTTTTTTGATACTGCATAGCCTAATAAAAAGTTGTGAAGGACTTAAAAGTGTTCTTGCTTCTGTGGCATTTTGATTGGTCTCAATAAAGGTATCACCCAGCACTGTGTTTAATCTGTTTTCCTTGATTGTATCCTGTCCTGAATGAATACTACTACTACTACTACTACTTATTATTATTATTATTATTATTTATTTGGTAGAGTGGCTTAGAAATATGAGAAATAAGCTTTCCCAATGTTGCCTAATGAAATGTCTTAAGGGAATTACAGGAGAATGGCACCTCCTTTCTTAGCATGAATAGCAGTTGATCTGACACTGATGGCTGAGCCTGTCTCGCCTTTCCTGCTGACTTAACCGGGTGGAGTGACTGTTGGATGGAGATAGTTCTATGAGAGGAAAAAGCCAAATGGTTGATGGTTCCAGCCAGACTAGTGGGGGGAATGTTATTATTCAGTGAGGTAGCCATATGTGTTTGCTCTGGGACAGCGCCTGCTCCTGCAGAGAAAAAGATATAATCTTTGCTTCATTGGTTGCCCAGTTTAACCCAATTTCAGTTCCTCAATTCCATGGTTTGGATGGAGGTTACCTTTATGTGTCACCCTCCCCAGTCCATTCTGCTGAATTTCCATATTCCTAGGAGCAGAAAAATGGGATCTCCAGGTTATGATAGCTGCCATTGTGATCTCTTTCCATTAACCATGGTGCCTTCGATGCCTTCAGGTTTCTGCCTCAAAACCAGTGATGTTGTTCCAGAATAACAGAATTGTCAATTTGTCCCTGCAGACTAATAAACTGGTAGAAAGTAGGTTGTGGAAAATAGTAAAGTGTAGAGTTGGGACTGGTCAGTAACTGGCAGCCATTCACTTTCTCATCAGGGTGAAGGAAAATTTCTTCCACTCCCTGGTTTACAGAACATTGAGGAGGTATTTCACTTTTCAGGAACTTGCTGTTAAAAGCTGAGGTGACTCATCCATCTAGAGCTGGGGCTTTTCATTGGAGCATCTCTGCCAAATAGTTTCCTTGCTGCCTAGGTGCTTTGCACACCCACTCAAGTACTCAGCAAGTAAAAGCCTTTGTTTTTGGAATTACCAGGCAGGTTGGATAGTTGGTTTTTGTTTTTTGGGGAGGGTGTGAGTTGGTTGGGATGATCTTTGATAAATGGAGCACACTGGGCGTATTCTTGGCAGAGTGAAAATGTTTGGATGCTGAAAGACAAAATTCCAGTCTGCATCAGTGTGGGTGGACATAGCTGCATGGAGCTGGTGGAATAGAGCTTTATATTGTGAACAAATGTTGGCTTTTCTCCTACAAAGAGACTCGGTGGCGGTGGTGGTGGAGCCAAAATAGTCTTTGCTTTAAGCTATATGTTCTCATCATTGCATGGGTGGAGAACCATTGGAACGCAAGTGTTTTGGACTGCAAATTCCATAATCCCTGGTTATTGGCCATCTGGAATTAAAACAAGTGGATGCCTCCAGGTTGGGCAAGATTGGCCTAGAAGTAAGGACCACCAGTAGTCATCCTGGAATTTGTGGTACCCGGAAACTGAGTACACTGCCATTTTTCTTAGCAGCCTTTTCAGGGTAAATTTATGATTGCATCTTTTGCTGTGGGTGTCAGATACAGTTGGAGCTTTCAGTTTTCTGGTAATTATCATACCCAGTCTACATTGGTAACATTTTACAATGTCATTAATACTTATTACAACTCTTGGCTGCTGCTGTTCTCTTTGTGCATTTGTAAACTTTGCTTGTTAGCTGATCATAGCATTTGTCCTGTCTTGGAATTCATAATTCCAGACTTCATTGTAACATGCTGCAGGCCCATGAAAAGTCAATAAAATG